TCATACAGTGCGCAGCCTTTTCAGACTGTCTCCCTTCACTTCGTGATGTGCATTAAGGTTCATCTGTGTCTTTTCATGATTTGACAGCTCGTTTCTTTTTAGTGCTGAACAATACTCCCTTGTCTGGACGCGCCACAGTTTGTGTGTCCACTCACCTGCTGAAGGACGCCGTGGTTGCTTCCAAGTTTGGCAGTTATGGATAAAGCTTCTATAAACATCCGTGTGTAGGTTTTTGCATGGGCATAAATTTTCATCTCTTTTGGGTAAATACCAAAGAGTGTGATTTACTGGATGGTGCAGTAAGAATGTGTGTAGTGTTTTGAGAAACTTTCACGCTGTCTTCCGAAGTGGCTGTACCATTTTTCATTCCCACCAGTAACGAGTGAGAGTCCCTGTTGCTTCACAGCCTGATCAGCATTTGGTATTGTCAGTGTTCTGGATTTTGTCTGTTCTGATAGGTGTGTAGTGGTATCTTGGTGTGTTACTTTTCAGTTCCCTGATGGCGTATGATGTGGAGCGTCTTTTCATATGCTGTTTGTCTCCGTATCTCTTCTTTTTGAGTTCAATTTCTATTTTTAATTTTAACTTAACAGGCACTCCTCAAATTACAGTATATTATTTTTCAAAAGAGCATTTTTAACTAAAATATTTATAATTCAGAATTAATTTCCCCAAAAAGCAGCGTTGTATGTAGTATTAGATTCTTAGACAACAAAATTCTTCTTAACTTGAAAATTCCTCCTATAGTAACCAATCTCCACTGTTGATGGGACTGTAAATTAGTGCGGCCACTATGGAAAACAATATGAAGGTTCCTCGAACAACTACAGATAGAACTTCCATGTGATCCAGCAATCCCACTGCTGGGTACATACCCAAAGGAATGGAAATCATCATGTCGAAGGGACACCTGCACTCCCATGTTTATCACAGCTCTATTTACAACAGCCAGGCTATGGAACCAACTTAAATGTCCTTGATGGATTACTGGATAAGAAAAATGTGGTATGTATACACAGTAGAATATTACTTAGCCATTAAAAAAAAAAGAATGAAATTCTGCCATTTGCAGCAACATGGACGAGCCTGAAGAAAATTAAATTAAACAATCCAGGTGCAGAAAGAGAAATACCACATGTCCTCACACATAAATGTGAGCTGCCTTAATAAACAAACAATAAAGAGAGAGAGAGAAGGAAATAACAATCACAATAATACGTTGAACTTTTAGGAGAGAACAGAATGGTGGCTACTGGAAGTAGGGAGAGGGAGGGGAAGAGGGAGGGGGGTTCATGAGAAATTGGTAAATGGACAGTGATTACACACTGTAATGGTGAATAAGCTGACTATCTTGATTTGGCCATCACACATTGTACACAACTATTGATAGTCAACTTTTGTACACCACAAGTATGTATAATCAATGATGCTTCAATTAAGACAAAAAATTCCTCCCATAAATTTAATGTACTCGTAATTTAACAAAGCAACCCCAGACAAAAAGACTCTAATCAGTGTTTTTTAAATGCTGGTGTTTAAAGGGAAGTGTTCATTCATTCAGTAACTGCTTACTGAGTGCCTACTTTGCCTGGCCTTTCTGATGTCTTTTTCTCCTCCTCCTCGGAAAAACACCACCTCGGTTTGTAGCCAAGCCAGGGCGGGGTTGGAGAGTGAACAACGGAGAACTGCAGTGGACCCTGCCCACAAGGGCCCCAGCAGGCCTCACTCTGCCGCGTGGGTGGTGCAGCTGCCAGCGCCTGGGGCGGTGTCTGTAGCGACACCTGGGAGGTGCAGGTCAGCCCAGCCTCAGTGCTGGGTGTGTCGGGCAGTGACTAATTCAGACCTCCTGGAGGCACTGCTTTGGTGTGCTGGCAGGAGATTTTCAGAAGGTGTTTAAAGTCCAAAATGAAGCTCCAGTGTAAGAAAGGGGACAGGTGTGTATGGAGTCTGTCTGAGAGATTTCCTAGGTGAGGGGATTGTTTCACAGGCCAATACAGAATCGGGTCACTGAGTGAAGCAGCACAGGAGGCGTTTGTCCCTGCACGGGTGGCGGCTTTGTTGGGGTTTCCAGGCACACCTGTCATCGTTGCCTTGTGCCTGCACAGGAGGCCTGACGGGACATGACATAGGTTGGGCTGTGTTTGGATGTTTGGCAAAGTTAGGACAAACCACTTCTGATCCCCAGCAGTGAGTCAGGACGGGGACGGAGTCCCAGGCACGTCCCCAATGCCCATGAGCCAGGCCGGCCAGCTGCCACTGTGCCCACGCCAGCTGCCCCTGTGCCCATGGGGGCTGCTCCAAAAGCTTCCCTTTGCAAAGACGTTGTTATTTAGAAGTTGCTTTCTCCACAGGCATGCCATTTCCATCTTTGTGATCACAGCAGTTGGGGAAATGTTTTTACTAAAACCTTTTGGAAAGATTTATTTGATGAGGCATTTTTCCCCCCAAACATTGGTGTTCTCAGTTTGGAGTCATTTTGGCTTTATTTGTGATTGAATGATGGTGATTTTCATAAGCCACCAAATTCTTCCAAGGCCTTTGTGCTACCTGCATGAGACAAAGTATCCCTGAGAAGAGAGAGAACTGGACAGCAGGCTCCCTTGGAAATCCGGAACAGAAGGCAGCTGGAAAGACATGGTGGTGGAAGGGAGGTGCAGCGTTATTCGTGTATTGCTTTCAGCCAAGACTTGATTTTTCTGATGGTGGGCTGTTCTTTCTACTGCAGATCTCTCAAAAGCCTTGGTTCTAACAGAAATTGGCCCCAGACGTGACCCTGCCACCCTGAAACTGTTCCTGAGCAACATGGAGCGGCTGCTCCACGCCAAGGCTCATGGGTAGGATCTTCAGTTCTGGGACATCTGTGGCCAGAGGGGAGAACCACGCACACAGTCCTGTTGGAACTGCCCAGGGAGTTGCAGAGGAGCCCCTGCATGGTGGGAGCCGGCGGGGCACGTGCCCTCCAAGAGAGGCCGTGACTTCAGGCTTGGCTGGCACCAGGAGATGGGCAGGACCATTGTCCCTTCTGACCAGCATTTTAAGAATCCAAGTTGATTCTCAGGCCATTCAACCAGCAGATCCCATGTGTAGCTAGAGTCCTTCCTGAACCTTGGCTTCAGACAGACTGTTACTCTCATTTATTCTTCCTAAATGTCTGTTAAAGCCCAAATGAATCCTCTTTGTCACTTGCCCTCCCTCTAGTCTGTGCTGTAACTACCAGCCACATGAGGCGACTTAAATGTAAAGTTCAGTAGAATTAGAAATCCATTTGTCTCATTGCAGCATGTGCTTTGAATGCTCAGTAGCCCTGCGTGGCTGGCGCTAGGCAGTGCAGGGCGTCTGCGTCGTTGCAGAGAGGGCTATTGGTTGGTACGACCCTGACCCTGGAATTTACACCAGAACTTGTTGGCAGAATCTGGTGGCTCGACTCTGAGGGTGACAGTGTGACATCAGCATGCACACGGCATAGAGCGCTCTGGTGCCAAGTGCAATCTGCTCTTGCCCGCATCCATTCTCTTGTCCCTTTCCCCAGGGTCCGTGTGATCGGAAGCTCCACCTTGGCGCTCTGCCACCTGGCCTCAGGGGCAGCAGATGCTTACTACCAGTTTGGCCTGCACTGCTGGGACCTGGCAGCTGCCACAGTCATCATCAGAGAGGCGGGCGGCATTGTGATGGACACTTCGGGTGAGCTCTCCTGCCTGAGTCCCCCCTCCTGTCCCCGGCACTTCTTTAGGTCCCACGATGTTGAGTTTCCCCACATCCCCGAGCTCTGCTGAGACCAGGTGAGGATGCTGTGCTGGCAGTGGCCCTACCCCAGACAGGTTCCCTTCCTGCCTTCCTTCAGATCACAGGCTCACGGTAACAGCAGTACTGCGTGTTACACCCTCACGAGTACTTGCATACCCCATGAGAGGCCATCAGGATGGAGCAGGTGGCACGTTGCCTAGTTTTGAGGTTAGGTGCTTCCCCGAGGCTCCGTGGCTTGGAGCTGGAGCAGCACCAGTGCGCAGCCTGAGTGGCCTGGACCGTAGAGTATGGACCCAGAAGGCAACCTGTCCCTTTTGCTTCAAGGCTGTGCGAGTCCTGGTGACAGCCCTCCTGGGAGCCCCTGCGCTCCCTGCCACCTCCACTTAGCACAGGCAGATCATGCATCCAGCAGTCAGTAACAGCAGCTACAGCCCAGGCCAGCCCCTGCTGGATCCCATTCTCACCTAGCTTTGAACCCTGAGCTTGTTAGCAGAAGCCTGTGGCTCACTTTTAACTCTTGGGTATGCACAGTGTATCTTTTGTGATTTGACCTCTACTTTTTTCCTATTTCTTCTTTGAAAGGCCTTAATTGAGCTACCAGGAAGATATAAAAATGAAGAGGTATCAGCCTTAGGCAGCAAGACTAGGCAGGCCAGTTTCACATTAAAAAAGCATCAGACACTCTGGATTTTACCACGTGAGCACCTCGGGGCTCGGGTATGTGCAAGTAGGCCTCTAGCCATGCAGTCAGTCCTGTGTCATACACCCACAGAAAGATACAGGGCTTCATCATGTACCCCCAGCTGCTCAGAGTGTGGTCCCCAGAGCAGCGGTAGCACCAGGAGCCAATAGGGAAGGCAGATTCTCACCCCTCAGTCCTGTTGACATTTGGGGAGGACTGCTCCCCCATTCTGGTCTAACCCACCCTGAGTTTCAGTCCTGGATGCTGGACTTCATGTTCTCCCAGCATCTCCAGGGACGGGTTGGTTCAGGACAGCCCTGGACTGCATTCAAACTGGGTGAGGGGCCCCATCCTTCTTCTCTTGGCCAGATTCCCTTCTAGACCCCCTGTTTAGTGTAGACCTTAGGACTCGGGCATGGGCCCATGTACTGCTGTCCTTGTGTGCGCAAGATAAATTGTCCTACAAGATTGCTCAGCGCTATCCATGACCTGCGTGTCCGCTGTCTCCCTCTGTCCAGGTGGACCCCTTGACCTCATGTCTTGCAGAGTGGTTGCTGCTGGCACCCGCGAGATGGCGATGCTCATAGCTCAGGCCTTACAAACTATTAACTATGGGCGGGACGACGAGAAGTGAGAGGGAGCAGATGGAGAGCAACGCGGCTGAGGACCATGCTGGCCTTCCTGGCCGCCGTCGGTGGCGGCGCTCCCTGCAGAGGGAGCTGCCACGTGGTCTGCATGCTGAGCCAGGGCCAGGTGTCTCATGCTCCTTTCTGTCTGCCGCAGAGGAGCTGTTATGCCCAAATGGGTGGCTAGCCTTTTAATCTGCGCCTCCTTCACTGGGATTTGGTGTCTAGCTGGTTTCTCTCTTTAATCTCACGTAGGCTTTTTCAGGTTAGTACACGTCCTTCTGTCAGGGCCAAAACCCAGCTTTCATATGAGGTACATATTGATAATCCAGTCTTGATTTTTTTTTTTTTCCTAAATGCAAATCTCAGGTAATAAGGCTTTAGATCTGCTGATGAAGCAGGCTCATTCTCAGGCCCGCCCTGTGGTACTTCAGAATGTAATAAATGAAGATAACGGCACTCTGCTGGTCTGGTCCCTCCGTAAGTGTGTCTCCTGCCTCCCAAACAACCCTCAAGACCCCGGGCTGCAGATTGAGGCTGCGCGGAAGCAGGTTAAACCCAAAGTGGATGGGCGCGGCTTGTCCGCTCCTGTGCCAAGCACTCTGCAAACTCCCTCAGCAATTGTCATGTTAGCATTCAAAATCCAAGAGGTGGACAGACTGAAGGACGACTAATAGTTCAAAATGGTCTCTGAAATGCTGCTGTTTTTGTGACCAGTTTAAAGAGAAATTGTGATGTTGAGGGGGAATTATATGTAAGAATAATTCTAATGAGGGTATTAACTGACCAGCCAGGTATCTTTTCTGAAGTTTAAGAACTGAGAAAGTCAGTCGTAAGACAGAAAATTCCAGCTGCGCTTAACTTTTTCTCTCATCTTCCTAATTTGCCGTCAGCAAACAGAGTATTTGGGAGCCCCCTGGTGTCTGCTGTCTCTGGCTCCCCAGCACCGATTGGGAGGCAGTGTCACTTGCACCCAGTGGACCTCAGAGTGCTCCACAAGTCCCCAGCTGGCGCACGGCCTCCGCCCTGGCCACTCAGAACCCCCGCAGGCAGCTCTCCCAGGCTGAGCCGCTGAGAACAGGAGACTTGAGAGAGCATTTCCACACAGGATTGTTCTTGGGAATAAATACCCAAGTGCCTTATTCCACCTCCCCCAGGTAGCTTTTGATAAGTTTGCTGTCTAAAAGAGGGACCTGCCTTTTCTGCTGTGAGCCCCCAGTGGACGGACAGCTCAAGGGCCTGGATGTGTGAGGACTCGGGTCTCATATAGGACTAATCAGCCCGAGGCCCAGTGATCATGTGGGCCTCCTGCTATTGGTCACTACAGGGACATGTCAGACTGCACACAGGACCACAGAGGTTCAGGGCCTTGTGCCTTCTGAGCCCCCAGCCCCTCTACACCCTTCTGACTAGCGTCCAGGCTCCCTTTGAACCCCCAGTCGAGGCAAGTCAGTCCTCCGGAGACTGCCATCCCACACTAGCATCTTTCACACCATGAGAATGTCCCGCCTGTGTGGAACCTGGAGTGTCCCTAACAACTTACAGCTCCGTTCTGATTTTAACCGTGAGGTCCATAAATGATGGCGGTGTTGGAGATTGATGCACGGGTCCCTCTGCTGTTCTCCCGGTGTGGCTGCTCTGCTCCCCTCCCTGACCTCAGGCTTGATCTCATGGTCCCTGTGGAGGCTAAGACAGCCCTGCCCTCCTCCCCAAGCCAGTCCAGGTTCCCATTTGCTTTTTGGTCATGCATGTCACCCTGTGTTTATACCCGGAGCTAACCAGAGCCCCTGGTATGCATGGCTGTGAGGACACACTCTGTTGTGTGGCCTTGAAGGGCTGGACTCTAAAGCCACATGCAGGACGTGTTTGGTCCACACTGCCCATCCCCTGTGCCCATAGCTGCAGCCTGTCAGGATCTTTAGGGATCCCAGTGCTCTTCTACAGGCTGGTGGCAGTCTCTGGGGCTTTTATCTACACGTTTGCTTGGCCCGCCAGCAAGAGCTCTTATTCAAATTGGGAAAAATACTGACAGGCATCGAGTGAGTCACTGAACCCTTCCGCACTCACTCAAGACTTCTCAGTGCTCGGGGATCTGCTACCCGCTCTGAGAGTGGCCTTGTAGCCCAGTGTGGAGCACCCCAGCTTACTGCCAGCCGCCCGTGTTTCTCTGTGTCATGCACAGGAGATGATGTGATCTTTACAGAAGTCCCACTGAAACTGAGGGCCGTGCCATCTATACAGCATCTGCTAGCCACATGTGTCTACTTAAGTGAATTAAAGTTAGATTAAATTAATCTTAAAACCCCCTACCTCAATGGCACTGGCCATATTTCAGGTAGCCAGTACCCCTGAGGATGGTGGCTGTTGGGCTGGGCATCGCAGATGAAGTGCAGGTATCTCCATCGTCTCCAGAGTTCTGTTAGACGGCACAGCACAGAGTGGAGCTCTTCGATAATCTGCTCTAAAATCTGGATGTGTACATGACAGTCCAACCTCTCTTTAATGGAATCTGCGTTCTTCCTGGGTTTTGTCAATCTGCAGTCTTCAAAGATGCCCTGTAGCAGTCTTGCCCACAAGGTCCCCCAGTGTCCACCACTGTGCTATCACATTAGGTCGCAAGGAGCAAGATCGAAAGGACCCTAGGCCGGGGTGGGGCCAGAGCAAGTGATGAGCCACGTTATCACACAGTGAGAGCAGATGAGAACCCTGGCATTGCAGATAACCCATGACTCCGCAAGGACAGTCTGAAAGGGAGACCTCACGAAGAGGGACGGAAGCACAGGGGCATCAAGCCCAGGCTGTGGTGGGGGCGGGGGCGGGTGGTTGTGGGTTAGCCTGCACCCCGGGGTGGAACCATGGGCAGCTGCTCTGGGTTGCTGCCCTCGCCCCTCCTGGAGGCCAGGCCGACCGCTGCAGTAGAAAGAACACTGGCTTGGGAGTCAGCGAACGCAGTCCCACCCCGAGCTTCTTGCTGTCTGACCTGCAGAGTGCAGGTGCTGCCTCCCTCATGGGCTGGGGCAAAAGAGGGGCACGTGGATGCCCGGCACTCAGCGTGCCCTCTTCACCAGCATGCAGAGCCTTGGTTTTGGAGCCCCCAGGCGACTTTGAGAACCAGGATCGCTGAGTGCCCGGCCGCACATCCTGACTCGGTGCAGCACACATTCAGGACACTTGGACAGGTGCTCGACAGACGCTTCAGGAATACAGCCAACTTGATCAGCCAGAGAGTGGCAGAGGATTTTTTCCCTGAGTTCTGTTTATGCTAAAATAGCTTTAGAACAACATCAAAAGAATTTTTTGTTTTTGCATAATGCCAATGGACTAGCACCTACGCCTTCCCAGGCCTTCATCCTGCTTATCTGTCATGTAGAAAAGGGCACCTGCTAAGACGCTGTCCTACATGTGAGACAGCTTTGAATGGGCCGGATCCCACCTGGTGAGGAATGACTTCCGGGGGGTGGCGGCGCCTCGAGTGCCAGAGTCGTTCCAGGGAGGCAGAGGAGGGGACTCTTCTTGGGCTCCTGCCTTTCACTATGGGAGCATGTGCTGCTACTTCAGGAGCTTCTGAAGTCACAGAGGAGACATAACCTGAGCACTTGGGAGTTCGGGAGTTTTCTTCACGAGTGTGAAAATCACCTGGACTGATATCTTATCCATCCTTCCAACAAAGCGGCATGTGTAACACACATACGTTATACATGACAAGCAGTGTTCCAAGTTAATCTGGGGCAGCCAAAGTGTGGAAGCAGTTAGCTAAGATGTTCTGAATGAAGTTCTAACAAGTTTTGAAGATTAGTGATATAAATGAAAAAGGTTATTCCAGGTGAGGGAATGGAGCCGTGTAGCTTCCTAGAGGGGCAGCGAGCAGGACAGGGCTGGGACGACAGACTGACGGACCAAGGGGATGGTCACCTGCGTTCCAGAGGCAGTCACGTGAGCGAGTAAGGCACTTTGTAGATGTGATTCTCTTAAGTTGTGCAGTTTCATCACTTAATTTGGTCAGTTTTTCATAGGAAAGATTATGCTTACTTTTAAAAATTGTTTTTTGAGCCCTTGAAAGTTACCTCTCCCTGTTGAGTCTCCCTGCCATCCTCACAGTGACACGCTGTTCCACTCAGGTGCTGGACACAGTTAGGCTGATGCTTAGGAACTTGGACGTGAAACTCCAAATGTGTACAAGAGAGGGTCTTTCTCGGCTCAATAAGAAACCTAGAGAAAGGCTTGTACCTCAGTAGGCTTTAATTATGTGAGGAGCTCCATGCTTTATAAAATGCCAGGGGCAAAGATAAATGTTAATAACATGTGGCGGGTTGTACTTAAAGTACAGCTGTCCCGCTGTCTCGCTGTCCCTGCAGCGATGGTGGCCATTCCAAGTCTGTGTTATGTGAAGGCGATGGTTAATAAAAGCAAGCAAAACCCTCCTGCCCTCTCAGTTTTCTGTGCATTCTGAAACACTGCTGAGAAGGCCAGGACAGACAGACACCAATGTCCACACTGGCGGTTTATCATCCGCGCCTGGTCCAGATGTTCTGGAAGAGGTTGTCTGGAACTCTGACAGTGATAACAATTTAAAAATATTTTTTTCCTAAACATCAGTCTCATGATTATGAAATCTGTAGGCTTCATTTGCGTGTACACATGGATGAGCATTAGCCATTTTATATACTGCCTTGAGTGAACCTGTTAAGATAGTGAAGATACCACTGAAATGAAGTTATAAGGGAGCCTTCTGTGAAATCTCCATGTATTGGAAGGAAAAAAATTTAGAAGCAATACCAAAATATGATAAAATTTGTATGACTTTGACCAAAATTAATATCTTTTAGGCATGCACTTGCAGCTTTGAAAACACTGATGTGGATTATTGAGCATAAACTTTTAATGCCTAAAGATTTGGGGGGAAATGTACAGAAGTGTGGGTAGCGCACTGCACAGGGAGCAGCATTCTGGTTCTGAGCTGGGGTGGTGGCTCTGCAGTAATCAGCCATGTGACCAAAGCCCCCGATGGTACCTGTAACATTTGTGTATTGAAGATCTCCCAGGCTCTTTCCAAATTCTTTCCCCTCAGCCTGTGAACCTGGTAAATACTACTCATTGCCAAAGTCACTGTCAGGAAGAGAGAGTTGTGCATTTTCCTGCTGTGATAGTGAATAAATTTTGTTTTTAATTAACTGAAGTTGTTGCGTAGTTCCATGGGTTCGCTTTGGAGGGAGCACTGTGTCTTCCCACATTCTGTCAGTTTTGTCTTTGAAGAAATAGCAACCAGAACGGCTCTGAGTCCTCTGTCTCATGGGGCCGAGCTACTGAACAGTTCCAGAAGCACGGCCTCAGCCAGCTTTGAGGAGACTGGCTTTTCTTTCATCTTGGGATACAGATTGGTCTGTCACTTTACTGCTTTGCACGAGTTTTGTTTAATAGGACTCTAAAATAAATAGTATGGACTTTTTAAATGAGAGTTT